AARRAAWYMAAMCATAAATGTCCAGAAATGAAGTTATTTGTAATAATGTGGAATGGCACAGGGAAAAAGTAGTGAACACATGAAGAAAGGGAGGTGTAAAAAGGCATGGAAAGCCAAGACACCAGCTGAACTCTCTCAGTAATTAGAAAGCAAGCCTGCCCCTTGTCAGTGCAAGTTAATATCAGCTGGTTCAGTCCCAAATGATGGCCAGGTATCACACAAGAACCATCTGATGATGGGTAAAAGTAAAGAGCHCTCTCAAGACCTTCACAACCTTATTGTTGCAAAGCATAATGATGGCATCGGTTACAGAAGAATGTCTAAACTTCTGAAGGTTCCAGTGAGCACTGTTGGGGCCGTAATTCAGAAGTGGAAAGAACATTATTTCACCATAAACCGACCACGACCAGGTGCTCCTCACAAGATTTCTGACAGAGGAGTGAAAAGAATTATCAGAAGAGTTGTCCAAGAGCCAAGGACCACTTGTGGAGAGCTTCAGAAAGACCTGGAATTAGCAGGTACGATTGTTTCAAAGAAAACAATAAGTAATGCACTGAACCACCATGGCCTGTATGCACGCTCACCACGCAAGACTCCACTGCTGAAGAAACAGCATGTTGAAGCTCCTTTAAAGTTTGCTGCACAACATTTAAACAAGCCTGTGTAATACTGGGAGAATATAGTCTGGTCAGATGAGACCAACATTGAACTGTTTGGATGCCAGAATACACATCATGTTTGGAGGTCAAATGGCACTGCACATCAGCCCAAAAACACCATACCAACAGTGAAGTTTGGAGGTGGGAACATCATGGTGTGGGGCTGTTTTTCARCATATGGTACTGGCAAACTTCAAATAATTGAAGGAAGGATGAGTGGAAAAATGTACAGAGACATTCTTGATAAAAATCTGCTTCCATCTACCAGGATGATGAAGATGAAACGTGGCTGGACATTTCAGCAAGACAGTGAGCCCAAACACAAAGCCAAGGAAACTCTCAGTTGGTTTCAGAGAAAGAAACTAAAGCTGCTGGAATGGCCCAGCCAATCACCTGACCTGAATCCAACAGAAAATCTATGGAAAGAACTAAAGATCGGAGTTCATAGAAGAGGTCCACGAAACCTTCAAGATTTGAAGACTGTTTGTGTGGAAGAATGGGCCAAAATCACACCTGAGCAATGCATGCCACTAGTTTCTCCATACAGGAGGCGTCTTGAAGCTGYCATTGACAACAAAGGCTTTTGTACAAAGTATTAAATAAATTTCAGTAAGCGTGTTCAATATCTTTTCCCTGCCATTCCACATTATTACAAATAACTTCATTTCTGGACATTTCTGGTTTGAATTCTTTGTATGTATGGATCACTTGGGTTGTTACCAACATCTGGTGAAAATTTCATGTCATTAGCACCTCTAGTAATATATTTACTGAGAAGAATGGTGACGTGTTCAATGCTTATTTTACCCGCTGTATGTGGTTGTTCTACTCACACGTCCTGATTATTTCCGTAAATATTTGCATTAAAAACAGTAATTGTTCCCCATTATTAAGAAGAAAAAAAGTCATTTGGCTGGCAAAGAATCTGATGAAAGATGTTGAATTACAAACTCTTTGCTCCAGCAGTTCTACAATATAGTGGCAACAAAACTAATGGAGAAACCCACCATGTTGTTTGTCGGGGAAACGTTGGGTCTAAATCACCCACAACACTTATTCACAGACTGTTTGAGGATGATAGGTTGGGAATCACTGCACTAGTCTACCTGTTTCAGCCTCCTATACTATCTCTGCCATGGTCAGCTTCACAATAAACTACATACTGTACATCTGCTATGTCCTTCTGGAGTCTGATGTGATTTGAGTACTGTGCATGCGTGATGGATTATACTAACCAATAGGATGTCAAGGTGGTATTTATCATTCTCATCCAACCACAATTAAATACACCATCAGGGAGGTGCCATATATTGTATTGTTTTTTCTTTTGACAAGCCAGAATGAAAACAAGCCAAAGTGAAATAAAAACCTTTTGTATTTTTAAAAAGTATGGAGTAGATAGTACACATTATTGCATGAAAATGTAAGAAGTAGAAGTACAAAGTAGCCTGAAAAATAATAAAAAAGTCCAAATTTCTACTTAAGTAGGGTAACAACTTATTTCTGTTTCACCACTTGACACCTCTGCTTATTGGACAATCTGTAGAATTGTTTTTCCATCAATTTTTTCTTTATTTAAAGTACCTTTTTAAGAAATGTTTAATGTAAATTTTCCTTAAATGAATTCAATTCACTGAAATTGTCTTAGAAGCTCTGACAATTATTTTCCATTTTGAGTTACATGAGTTTACTTAGTTTGGCAGCACGATGGCTCAGTGGTTAGCACTGTCGCCTCACAGCAAGAAGGTCCAGGGTTTGGACTTAGGGTCTTTCTGTGTAAAGTTTGCAAGTTCTCCTTGTATTTGTGTGGGTTTTCTCTGGGTACTCTGGTTTCCTCCTGCAGACCAAAAACATGTACTGTACAATAGGTTGCCTTCAGGCCCAGGCCTCCCTTGCAAAAGAGATCTGGAATCTCAGTGGGATTTGCCTGGTTGAATAATGGTAAATAAAACCATGCTACCGCTCCAGTAGCATGTTTCATCCAGTACTCAAAGTGAAGTAAACAAGCTGATAATAGACTTCAGCCATTGAGGCATTTTGGACATTTTCTATTTTGACACTGATTATCCGTCCGTCCGTCCGTCYATCCATTATCTATACGGAAATGTCATAAAAGGCTAGGGGTCAGTATTTTGTGCAGTTAATCAAAGAGGATACTCAATTTAGACACAGCTTTGGGCATAGTTGTAAGAAATTCTATATCTGTGCTCAGGAGCATTAACATTCATTAGACACTCTTCAAACATAAAATCAAAAGAAGCCTCTATGGTAAGATCACATTTATTTGGAGTGTAGTGTGTAATAATATGGGCCTCTGGTGTTGCATTTTAAAATAAAATTAGGTGGTTGCTGAAGTRCTCAGCCTGGGTCAACCTGGGTCAACTTGGCTGACGTTGATGATGGACTAGTCTCTGTGATGGTAAATGACTTGAACTAGCACTTTATGAAGTCTCTATGAACTCTAAAGGGCTTTTCACTTCAGTCATTCACCAAGTCACACACATTCACACACTGATGGTGGTAAGCTACATTGTAGCCACAGCTGCCCTGGGGCACACTGACACAGACAGAGCTGCCATGCACCGACGCCACCGGACCCTCTGACCACCATCAGTAGGCAAGGGTGGGTGAAGTGTCCTGTCCAAGGACTTGACTGAGATGGCTAAAATGGGGGATAGCACTGGCACCCCACCCCACCAGATACAGGACGACCCCCCACCCCCACACACACACACACACACACACACCACCACCACCACCACCATGATGAAATAAAACAGGCAGTTTTGTTTGAATAATTTGTCTTGCTGCCTCCTGACCAGTATATTGTATTTGAAATCTGTGTAATAATTGCAGAACAATATTTATGATTATTCTTTACTATTTTGCCCAATTCACTTAGACTCACTGTTAAGCAGTGGGTACTTAGCACTTAGCCATGCATTAACTGGATTTCAGTACTTGGAATATTAAAATCTTAGTTTATATCATGCATGGTCTGTTGATGGTTTTCTTTTTTTTTGTAAGTTACATGTCTTTTTCACACACACTTCTGATCATTTACACCACATTTATTTATAGATTTAGGTTAGGGTAAAAAAAAGATTTAGTCATTTAGCTTGTCATTTAAATTTTAATATTACATACCTCCCGAAAAAAATGAAAACAACAAACACTGACATTCTTGGGTAAAATCATGTCATTTTATGTATTTTACAAATCTTTTGTGATGAGAGGTTTGATTGCAGTCAGGATTTGACTTAGAATGTGCTCTGAGGTTTGTAGGAGAGTTGTAAATGTGTTAAAATATTGTGATGTGGTGTTAACCACCATATCTCTTTTTTGGTTCCTCAATTTTTTTCTTAGTCACAGTTCTGTTTTCTAATGGGGCTGCTTCTAACAATAAAGTGAAATGTCATACCAGGCGTTATTGATGGATTTTTGTTTACTTTTGTAGATGCAGGAGGTCCAGCAGAGCAAGGAGAAGACATTGGCCAACAACCGAACCCTGGCAGAGCAAAACCTCACCCTCCAGCCCCAGCTTGAACAGAGGAAGGAGCAGCTCACCAAGCGCTACAATTGTCTTCAAGAGAGCTATGAGTCCTATCAGCTACGCAAATCTACAATGGGTATGCATCTGTGCACACACAAGACAGCAGGAACCATTCTGATTTGCCATTTTATCTCAAGGTCTTGACTTTTTAATGTTAAGGCTGATTTATACAGTAGTCATTGAGAAGGGCTATTATTTTTTTCTCTTATGCAGGTGCGTCACAAATAGGGCTGCCACGATTAGTTGACGACTAATCGATTATTAAAATACTCGATGACTAATTTAATAATCGATTTATCGTTTTCTTTTTTGTTTTGTTTTGTTCTTTGCTTTGTTTTTCTCTCCAAACTGCTTTGACACCTTCCACTGCCACATCTGCCTTTCTGTCCTTGACA